GGAACCTCCGAGCCCCCGCTCTCAAACGCCTTCCGGGTTGCCTTGCAAAGTCTCCCCCCACGCCCCAGCCCACTCCCACTGCCGTGGGTACGGGGGTGACAGTGACCGCTCAGCTTGATGTATTATGGAATGAAACAAAATCTTATAGTCTGGAACCAGTACAGTTTCATTGCTTTGGTAATAGCAATAATGTGAAAAAGTCTGCTGTCACTATAAACCTTTAATTTTTGATTAATTGGTAATTTATGTCTTATCATCGTATTAAAACAAATTCATACCTACTTCCTACTTCTATTGAATAGTACCTACTGAAGTGGCTACCATATCTTCCTTAGCATTTTAAGGTTAAAATCAACATTTTCTAGCCTTTCTGAACACGTGATAATAATTTGCATACTTAAAATACAATTTTCTTACATAATTCTTCAATTAATTTTACTGAATAATATACTCATGCAAATTCAAATTCCACTGCTCTTTCTTACATTATTTGCTCTTTGCAAAAAACATGTAGGTTAACAGATTTAGAGCTGGAAATTTTTTCTGAAGATCAAGTGTTGGAATAAGGAGTAGAAAAGTGAGGTAGCAGATTTGTTCCGCCACTCTCTCTTCTTTAAAATTTGGTTGACTTTGTGCATCTGGCTTGATTCTTGTTTCCTTTCAAAATTAATACAAATATTAATTAGCAAGTGTAGAATATTTAAAAAGTGAATTCCATCAAAAAATTAACAACGTGAACTGGAGCTGTGGTGGGTTTTTGGGGGGGAGAGGGTGGGGTGTTTGGTTTGGGTGGGTTTTTTTGTTTGTTTGGGTTTTTTTAATAAAGTGAGTATTATATCCAGGATATAAAGCTCAGGTGTCATTATTTTTTTGACAACGAACTATTAGAAAGGAATATACTCTCTCATCTTCTATTCTAATCATTAAGGTCGAATACTAGTGAACCTTCAAGATGAAAAGTAAAATCTTGGTGTGACGTTTTAATAGGTAAAACTACCCTTGAAGCTACATTTAATTTCTTATAATTTATGATTACCAGACTCTTCAAATAGTTTACTTTTTATGGTATAAGATCATGAGGGTCTTTATAAAACATACTATTTTGAACTTTGTGGCCTTCAAAATATTGCAAAGAAAAGCAAGAAATTACTACAAAACCAATTTTTTTTCCTAGCTGTACAAGATGCTATCACAAGAATGTTCTCTAGATTTCACCTTGAATAGTTGAGATTATTCTAATCAGCAGAATTTTGCAAGACTGGACCACGATTTCATCCTTTTTTTACCGTGTTGGCATATAAATGAGATGTTTGTCTTTCAAGTTAGATGAGCAGAAGGACACTGAACAAGCAAAGGTGGGGTTTTTTTGTGGTTTTTGGGTTTTTTTTTTTAATCTAGTTGTAGTTAAAATAGAAGAAAACAGATTCTATCATACTTTATGGGTTCTTTTTTTTCCCCAAAAAAACCTGAATTACCTAGCTGTGTTCTGTCTCTGACTGTAACTAACAAAAGACAATTCCACTTATCATTTGTATTACCAAACACAAGGTATATATCTGAGCCATAATTTTTAGTAGAGGTGCAGGGAAGGCAGAACAATGTGATGGAATATTGTCCTTTTCAATGTTTAGTACAGCTTTTATTTTCTTTAATGACTCCACTGAATAGGGTGCATGTAGACTGGAATTCTGTTGCACCTAAGTAACTGCAGCATTCTTATTCCTAACTACCCATGGGGAAATAAAACACAGATGTTCATTGCTGACTTCCCATGTCTATCTGAACCCATGTGAGAGAATGGCTGAGGGACTGTGGACTGATTCATTTTCCATGGCAAGAATGGTAACTGGTCAAGGAAGTGTCTGCTCATGCTAAAGGTGTTTTTTCTTTTCTTCCTAGTACATTATAACCTCCAAAATCTTTCCTGTATTACTTCAAATTTTATGCCTTCTCTTCTACAAATGAAGGAAAGGCAAATCTAATTTTTTTAATGCATGGTGAAATAGAACCATTAGATTCTAGCTACAGGGTTTAACCAGACTGTGACACAGTGTTAGAGGGTAATTTTAATTTTCTTTTTCTGTGTGGCTTTCTAACACTCATTATTTTTCTGCTTCCTGCCAAAATAACACAACATTCTTTGATCCCTGCCTCCTTTCAAAAGTGCAGGTAGTGTGAAAGAGCTTCCCACACACAAGCAAGTAATTTGTACTTCTCATAACTGCTAAATTAGCATTCTCCCTTATTGCTGGAATGAAGTTGCTGCAGAGTTGTGTGCATCAACTTAAGAATCTGCTGAAGAGACTAAGAGTCTTTGGTCAGTTGGTCTCCGAAGTTCTCAACTACATGTTCTCAGCGTTCATTCTGAGGCTTATGTATTTCAGAAAAAATAAGGGACAGAAACACAAGAAGAGTCATAGGTAGTGGTGCTGGAAATGTAGGGAGTTTGAAGAATTGGTTGTAGAAAGGTTGCCCACAGAAGCTGTGGATGCCCTATCATTGGAAGTGTTCCAGGTCAAGCCGGATGGGACTTTGAGCAACCTGGTCTAGTGAAAGATGTCTCTGCCCATGCTCGGTAGTTGGACTAGATGGTCTTTGAAGATCCCTTCCAACCTGTCCCTGGAAACTTTCAAGGCCAGGTTAGATGGTTCTGAGCAACCTGGTCTAGTGGAAGGTGTCCCTGCCCATGGCAGGGGGGTTGGAACTAGATGATCTTTAAGGTCCCTTCCAACCCAAACCATTCTGTGATTCTATGGTCCTATGGTAAAAGCTGAATATGGCTGTAGATTTTTATCTGGAGAACATTCCTGTCTCTGTTCAGCAGTTTCAATGAGATATGTGCATGCTTGTATTAAGAATTCATTAAAAAGCAGGTTTTAAGAAATGCCTAAATATTAAGACACTGAATGGAGTAGGGAGATGTGTATTTTTACACTGCTATTTGAATATACCTATGTAAAAATTTATTTGAGGCTTTTAGTGGCTCAGTGGTGTACTGGATCCTTTGTCTAATTTAGTACAAGTTTTTGTGAGCTTTGTTTGCATCATCCAATTTATTGTTTTGAATGCCAAAAAACTCATAGTTGTTAACCTTTTGTTAGAGAAAAGGAGAAAATCTTAACTTTAAAAACTTGGGAAAGAAATTCTCACTTCAGACTAAAAATAAATTGATGCAGTCATCAACCTAAAACTTTGGAATTCTTTCATGCCTGATTGCATTCTATTCAGGCAGCAAGAGGTATAGTGTGAAGTTCACTATTGTAAGGAACCATGGCCATAGCTTTTCAAAATAATGGACTTTATTTCACTGAGGAAAGGATTTTTGTTTGGCTGAAGAAAATCAGCAATTGTGACATGTTCTTGCTTTACGTTGATGTCTTGACTGGTCTAGAAGAGAGCATTTTTCTTTCAAACACAAATACCACGGGGAGAAAAATAAAAGGAAAACAAAAATTGAATAATTAATGGTCACTGACAACATATGCAGTTTTAAATTCTTTCACACATTTTAGAGATGCTAAAAGTCCACAGTAACTCTAACTTTTCTTCCTTTTGGTCTTCTAACACACGGAATTGTGCAGTTAGGTAGGTGTATTGTGAAGTATTTTATCTTTCACTGAAACGACAATTAACTGACTTCTTGAAAAATGGTAAATGTTGGATTAGAAATATACAGCAAAAAGGAAAAACAGTGATACCTGATAAACTATTTTTTGAGCTGTTACTTTGATATCTGTTTAATATCTGTTGAAACAAGTATAAAAGAGAAGCATTAACAGCAAAATAATTAAAGAACATTTCAGCATAAATATGTAAAATAGGACTTTTTTCTGTTTTCTTAAGAAGAAATGGGGTTTAAACAGATCTAACCTTGGTGTAGAGGAATTAATGAGGGACTGAAGTCAATGGTGCTTTGCTTTCCCTCTAGCCATCATGTCTCCCAGACATAGTTTATTAAGTCTTCAAGGAAAGGATGGACATTCAGGCATTGTTACTCAGTTATTGAAAAACTGTTATTATTGTGAAAGCTATTGTTGACCCTCTTGAGGGACAAGAGGCCTTATAGAGGTATTTGGATAGATTGGAGCATTGGGCTATGATTAATGGGACGAAATCTAACAAGTCAAAATGCTGGATTCTGCATGTAGGATGGGGTACTGCCAGGCTAAGAATGAACTGGGAGAGGAGTGGCTGAAGAGCAGCCCTGAAGAAAGGGATCTGGGGGTGCTGGCTGGGAGCAGGCTAAACAGGACTCAGCAGAGTGCTCTGAAAACCAAGAGGGCAAACTGTATCCTGGGGTGCATCAAAATCAACATAATCAGCTAGTCAAAAGAGGTGATTATCCTGCTGTATTCAGTGTTAGTGTGGCCTCATCTTCAGTGAGTGCAGTTCTGGGTCCCAGAGTTTAAGAAGGATGTGAAGGTCCTTGAATGTGTCCACAGGAGGGCAACAGACCTGGTGAAAGGTCTGGAAGGAATGTCCTAAGAGGAGCAGCTGAGGACTTCCGGCTTGTCTAGTTTGGAGGAAAGGAACCTGAGTGGCAACCTCATTGCTCTCCACAACTTCCACAAGAGGAGAAGTGGAGAGGGAGTTTCTGACCTCTTCTCCCTAGTATCCAGTGTTAGAATGCCTAGGAATGGTTCAAAGCTGCTCCAAGGGAAGTTTAGACTGGACATTAAGAAGCATTTCTTTGCCAAGAGGGTGGTCAAACACTGGAATTGGCTTCCTAGAGAGGTGGTCAATGCCCCAAGTCTATCGGTGTTTGAGAGGAATTTGGACAATGACCCTAACTGCATACTTTAATTTGGTCAGCCCTGAATTCATGAGGTTGTTGGACTAGATCATCATGGTAGGTCCCTTCCAACTGAAATACTCCATTCTATTCCATTCTGTTTAATTAGCATTTTTCCTCCTTTTCTTTTCTTATGCTCATTTTTTTTTCTTTTTAAATTTATAAAAACAATGTTTTGTTTTTCTTTTCTAAAATCTTGACATTACAGAGCATTAAAGATAGCCTGGGGAGACTGCTGGGTCATATAGACATTATTCAAAACAAGAAGATACCGGCTTTGCAAAGTGCTACACCAAGGGAAGTGGCAAATATACAAGAGAAGCTGAATCAGCTTAATTTCCAATGGGAGAAAGTTAACAAGATGTACAGGGACCGACAGGCGTAAGTAACTTTTAAAAATTATTATTTCTGATGGCATCCATCAGTATTTGGTTTACTGTTGGTGATTGTTTCTTAGTCTTCTTTTGGTGGAACTATCTTTCAAGGTTGCAAACAATACTTCCTTATAACTAAGTGTAGAATGTTTAGAGGGAATTGTAATTTACTTTATGAGCACTTTTGTAAAACTGAAAATAGTTTGACCAACTATCACTTGCATTAGACCAAAACCTGGCATGATATTGCACACCTATCCCTATGTCATTATAAATGACATTACTTGACCCTAAGATAGCATTAGACATTTACACTTTTGTACCTGTATTATTTATTTAAAAATCTGAACCAGTGGTGAGTACCTCATAGTAAAATCCCTTTTAATTGCAGAGGATTTACTAGTTTGAGGAGTAGTTCTCATTTTATGTCTAAGACGCACAACTAGAATTGTTAGTGGCTGTAAATCCAGTGTCATCTTTTTATGTCTATATGTTAAACATTATACAGCAAGACAGGACACTTGAGAAGTATAGAAGGGCATTACATGATAATTAATAAAACTGTGATCTCCTACATTATCATACAAAACTTATTTTTCTCCTTGTATATTATTTCTGGATGTTTTAATCTGGGAATCATATCATACTTCAAAATGTAGCAAACCCTATGTTTTAAATTTTTGGAACTGTGCAATAAATACCTAGGTTTATACTTCCTTTTCCATCTGATATATCAGATGTTACTGGCAGTGATACAGCAATTTCTGTGATTTATGGGATATACTTCTTTTTCAGAATGAGTAATTTAAGTTAGCCTTAAATAAAAAGTCATAATTTCAAGCACTTATTCAATTACCACAGAAAAGTCCTTGATAGTTCTTCCGAAAATGTAAACTATTAATCTGATACTGAAAATCTTAATCTATATAAGACTAGTTCCATTCATTGCAATTGTCCATTCATAGTGATTTTAAAGAATTGGTTCTCCAGATTGCTGAAAACTTGATATGAAATGTTTCTTTTGATATCCTACCCCAGCAGACAATACATTGAAATTTACTACAATATCCCTTTCTGCACTACACATGTTTATAAATAACCCTGATCTCAGAAAATGCTCTTATAACAATTATAATGTTTCTGAACAGATTAACTTAATGTCCAAATAATTACTGTGTTGTATAGTAAAAAGAGGTATGAATCTAAACATATAAACAGTGACTAGAAGAAAAAATGTACTTCCTGTGAGCTTTGTAACTTCTGTGTTTTCTTTGTTTAGAAATAGTGGTCAACAGCTGACACTTTGCAAATTTGTACAGATGTATTATTTCCACTGCCAGCCAGTTACTAGCTTTGATTTTAGGTTGCTGGAGAGAGACAGAGAAAGTTTAAAACAATAATAATGAGAGAGAGTAATTATAAAAAATAATCTAGTAATCTTCATGTCATCTGTTTTGTCTTAACATTTGAAGTGTAAGAAACTGAGATAGATTTATAATCTTGTAAGGTTTTCAGATTCTCCCGTGCACAGTACTTTTTTTAAAGATAATAAGCCTGTCCTGGGTGCGGTAAGAAAGATTGTTTGGTTTCTCATGGTGCCACATAGAAAAATGAAGGTGATGTTAGAAGCTACTGGAGCTAAGCTGCTCACACAGATAATAAGAACTGTGGATATTTGGTGTTGTGCTTTTCCCAAACTCTTGCTGGTATAATAGACCAAGCTCTGAAAAACCCCATATGCATTTTCTACCACTGGTGCCTAGCAAGGAGAGCAGAAAGCTTAGACCACCAGCACTGACACTCAGTTATCCTTTATTTAGACTAGATGATATTTAGCCAGCTGCAGGAAATATTCTGAGGTGAAAAGAATTCATGTTTGTCAAGTATTTTGAGGTAATCAGATAAAGGCACAAGAGAAGTAAGAAGTATGATTATGCTCCAGCTGGTGTTTGCCGGGGGGAGTCATCCACTTTTAGTGCAATGGACAGCAACTCAAGGTGATGATAAGCTTGACTGCTGGCATTGCACACCTTTCTTTTTCTTTGAAATGTTATGTTTCTGGTGCCAGTCTTATTGTGTCACTGTTTCAGTGTTTTTGTTTGAACTCTGAGATGTTCCCTACAGCTTCTGCAGTTTTATGAGATGCTTTTGGACTGCACACGAATGCTAGCAGATAGATGAAAGAAGGTAATATGGCCTTTAGCATTTTGCTTCTAGCAGTTTGTAAGAGGTGAAAGTATCAGTGTTAAGTCTCCTCTTGAGACATGGATGAAGCTGTGTTCATGAGATATGCTATCAATGCTGATGTTTTAGGACAGTTTGGAATTATTATTGGAGCTGTGACCTGCTTTCAAGGGAGTGTATCTAAGTGAATGTGAGTATTCCACGTTTGAAAGGTTACAGAAACAAATATACTATAGTATGTTAGTTCCTGAATATTGGTTTTAGGATATCAAAGCGTTGTAGTAACATGAAAATTACTGTTTAAGTAAACACAGAGTCAACTGTCACCATAGAGGGAAGAACAGAACAACTTTCCCTGCCCTTGTAGTTACTAACAGAGAGCTTACTATAAATCTTACAGAAATCAACAGGAACATTCATGTTGAATTCTTTTGTGTGAAATAGATTTCCTGGAAGTCCTGATTCATACCTAGATACTTTGTAATTAACTTTATAATGAGTTCCTTTTTATTAGAAATCAAAATGTATTTTCAGTTTGTTTTACAGCTGAGTACTTGCCAGTTTGACAAAAACTCACTGTGATGATTAATACTCAAATACCTTCACGAGTCCAGTTCTACAGTATTTGAAAACCTTGTTTCACATTGTCACTTTAGCATGTTTCCTGTTTTTGAATAAGTATTCATACTTTATTTAGTGTAAGATAGCAGGCAATATTTCATTGAAAAAGTATAAGCAAAAATGCTGTTATCATTTTAGTGTACTCTTTCAGTTTTATTAGAAACCTGAGATGAATGTAATTTTTTTTTTGCTTTATATCTCATTTAAGAATTATCTTCCAGGGCATGTGTTATAGACTACATTATTGCCCTTCTAATTAATCTGAAATCTACTAAAAATTAAATGATGTGAGAGAATGTGGGAAAGTAGATACCAAATGCCTTTACAAAGTGTTTTTTGAGAATTCTGAAGAAAGGAAAAAAACAATATGCCAGTCTTATATCAGTACAGATCCCAAAAGGCTAATAATGCCGCCAAAACAGATTGATGGGATTATAAAATTTAAAAAAA